ATTATTATTATTATTATTTCTGCAGTTTAGCGCCATCTGCTGTCAGAGTGAAAGTGCGCTTTCATCCAGAGCGTCTCTCACATGTTCCGCCGTGTGCTTCTTGTCCGCGCTTGTTTACATCAGAGTGCGCACGCGTCTTTCACTCAGCATACAGCGGTGTTGTGCATTTTGACCAGTTTATGGGAAAAGAATTCTTAAAATGCATTCAAAATTCGAAATAATTTGTAATGTATAATTATTCACGGTATTTAGAAGTGCCCACGATAACAGTATCGTGCATATTCATTACCGTGATATATCGTATTACCGAATACCGGCACAAGTGTAGTTTAAACCCCTTTTCTGAGGCCAATTTTTCGCTGTCTACTTGCAGCTAATTCACGGCGACCCAACAGAAAAGGCCTCCGAAATGACAAAGACAAACCCCTGCCCCCCCTGCTGGCCAGAGTGAGCGGCAACATTGAGGTGAGTGAAGGATACCTGGGATTTATGTTTTCTTGAACTCTTGTGTTTTGAGTTTAACTAATACTAAAACACTTTAAATTTGGCAGGTGTTGGGTTTTAATGCTCGTCAGAGGAAGGCCTTCCTGAACGCAGTGATGCGTTATGGGATGCCACCTCAGGACGCCTTCACAACCCAGTGGCTAGTCAGAGACTTGCGTGGCAAATCAGAGCGGGAGTTCAAGTAAGTTTGAGCTTATTTAGTGTTTTTTGTTTGTTTACAACTAGGTTACAAATATTATATATAGGGGGAAAAAAACTATGAATATGATTTATTTTAGTTACAAACTGTGCAACGATAACAGTATCGTGCATATTCATTACCGTGATATATCGTATTACCGAATACCGGCACAAGTGTAGTTTAAACCCCTTTTCTGAGGCCAATTTTTCGCTGTCTACTTGCAGCTAATTCACGGCGACCCAACAGAAAAGGCCTCCGAAATGACAAAGACAAACCCCTGCCCCCCCTGCTGGCCAGAGTGAGCGGCAACATTGAGGTGAGTGAAGGATACCTGGGATTTATGTTTTCTTGAACTCTTGTGTTTTGAGTTTAACTAATACTAAAACACTTTAAATTTGGCAGGTGTTGGGTTTTAATGCTCGTCAGAGGAAGGCCTTCCTGAACGCAGTGATGCGTTATGGGATGCCACCTCAGGACGCCTTCACAACCCAGTGGCTAGTCAGAGACTTGCGTGGCAAATCAGAGCGGGAGTTCAAGTAAGTTTGAGCTTATTTAGTGTTTTTTGTTTGTTTACAACTAGGTTACAAATATTATATATAGGGGGAAAAAAACTATGAATATGATTTATTTTAGTTACAAACTGTGCAAGATGTCATCAGTTCTTGGCCTAACTTTTATTTTTGAGGATTTTGTAAGTATTTCAAGGTTGTGACCAGATTAAAAATATTTCACGGGAAATGGAAAACTGAGCATGATTTTTTTTTTTTTCCCCTACAAAAATTGCAAGAAGTCATAGTTACAGGCTCTTTGGGGTTTTCTTCATAATAAAAATGTTTAACTTAAAAATTTGCACTACAGTTCAAAAGATTGTTTTTGAAAAAGAAATTGTTTTTTTTTTTTTTTTTAGAAATGAATGCTCTTCATCATTAAAGATGCATTCAATTAATCAAACTGAAGTCGGGAGTAATGGCTGCTAAAAATTCAGCTTTGCATCACAGGAATAACTTTTATTTGAAAATATTTATTAAAATAGAAATGTTACTAAGTTGTAATATTTTACAGTATTGCTATTTTACTGTATTTTTGATTGTATAAATGCAGCCTTGGTGAGCATAAGACACTCCATTCAAAAACATAAACAAAATCTTTAAACAGTCGTGTATAAGAATATATTTCCATTTAATGGAATATAATATGTATTTTTAGCTTACTCTCAGGTTAATCACATCAACTCCATTAATTAATAATTTTGAGACATTTATCTATGAGCAAAAGGTCCTAGAAAAATAAATACATAAAATCCTAGCTAAATATTCTTACTCTGGGGGTCTTGGAATTATGAACTGTTTCTAATGGTATTGTCCATGTCTACTTTCTCTCAGGGCTTACGTCTCGCTCTTTATGCGGCACTTGTGTGAGCCTGGTGCAGATGGTGCTGAAAGCTTTGCCGATGGCGTTCCCCGGGAGGGACTGTCGCGGCAACATGTTCTTACTCGTATTGGTGTGATGTCGTTGATCAGAAAGAAGGTAAATGAGTAATGTATTGTAGTTAACATGCAGTACAAATGCCAAGTTTACAAACCGATCATATGAAATTTGCAAGATTCATGAATGGCAAAATCCATTTTGCATTGATGTCTAATTGTTGGTGTTTGGATAACTTCCTTTTTCAGGTACAAGAGTTTGAGCATGTGAACGGTCAGTGGTCAATGCCCTGGATGATGGAGCTGAACGAGAATAAAATAGCGTCCACCGCCAGCAGTCAGCCTGATTCACCCAGCAAAACACCCTCTACTGGCACTCCAGCGGACACTCAGCCCAACACACCTGCTCCAGGTACCACATATGCCACGACCTCTCAGATTGTAAGTTGATTGCTGTTAATATAAGGGTATATTCACACAAGGAAAGTCCGCTAGTTCACCTGCTTTGGTCTGGACCAAATACAATGTTGATTTTTAATTTTTTTGGTGCGGTTCGCTTTTACACTGCTCTTTTAGCAAGTGAACCAGAACCTAAACAAAACCACACGTGTGCTTAAGGTCATCCATTCATTGGTTCATCCATTCAACCGTACCAGAGTTTGATTGGAACCGGACCGAGAACACCTATTAAGCTGGGTCTCGGTACGGTTGTTTGGTGCACACCCGAGTGCGATTGCTGTATTCACACCTGCCCAAAAGATCCGCACCAAAGGGGGGAGCGAACTTGGGTTTGATTCAGTCGAGCCAAACAAGACCGGTGTGAATACACCCTTAAGGCTTTTCAAACTGAACGCGAAAATTCGACGCAATGACGCTTTTGAATCAAAACCATAGGGCCTTTCGCACTGCTTTAGTTCCAGAACTAAATGTACAGCACTAAAGTACTGGGACGATTTTGCGCGAACTATTTCCCAGTACCATTTAAAGGGTTGCATTCGCTCCGGAGTAGGGGCTAATTTGGTTCTCGAAAAAGGCAGTCGGGTACTAAAATCGCACCCAGTTCCGGCAGTGCGAACACGCCAAAAAGTGGGTAGTTCCAAAATTACTTCTGGTACTATGAAAAGGTTCCCACGGTGCGAAAGGCCCTAATAAATCCCTATGGTGCTATTCACACCAGGTGCGATCATTCGTGGCGCGAAAAAGCGAAGATTTTTTTTCTTCATCCTGTGTCGATTTTTTTTCGTCGTCGCGCCGCGATGAAACAGGCTGTCCAATCAGATTTAAGCTTAGATCACGTGTGTGGAGCAGCTGCTGTTGCACAAAAAGGCAAAGAGTGGTGGCGCTGTTTCGAAAACCAGTGGTAAACAAACACCGAAGAATAGGATTCCGAGAGAGAAGAGAGTGGATGCCGATTTTTATTCGTAGATTTATTTGCACATGTTCTTAATATAATTTCTATTAATTCTCCACTGAATTTTGTGATCTAGCGTGTCCGTTTTCTACCACGTGTGCGAGTGTTATATGAGTCCGAGTGCGTTAACTCTAGATCTTCCGTATTAAAAAAATTGAGTGCAATATATTTCTACACATGAAATATGAAAGCAAATAGACATGATTATGACTATATATTTTCTGTATGTGTTTTGCAGCTCATGGTATTTTTATAACAATAAAGGATGTTTATGACAATAAGCAGTGTGGCGTTATTAAACATACAAAGAGTGCATGCCTGCTTATTATAGAATCGAAATCAACTATAGATCACTATCGGAAGTCATTACAAGCACTCGATGATGGTTTAAAGTGGGTTTTAAGCAAAAACATTCATTAACGTACATAAATTTTCAAATGTGGCTTGATGCTACTTCTGTTCGTATTTTAAGATGTTTTCTTGTAAGCATTATAGATAGTTTGTGTTTCTGGCATAGAACCAAACTTTATTTATCTTAATTTAATGCTGTATATTGAGCAGCGGACGATGTTAAATCCATATACGAGACACATATCTGAGGAAAAATGCATTGCTGGTCAGCGCCACCTAGCATGCAGGCGTGAATTAGCAGAAGGCGATCAGTCGTTTCATGTTCTGTGTGAAAGCAACGTTCGCTTTTTCGCATCACGCTCCGTGTGAAACGGCCTTTAGACAGATTATTAAACCTTTGCCTGTTTGTTCTACAGATGGTGTTTCCAAAGCAGAAGATGGTGGAAAAGATGGCGATAAAGAAAAGGTGAAAAATGGAGACGGTGAGAAGGATGCAAGTGAGAATAAAGACAATGAAGTGAGTACAAACAAACTCTGGATCTCTGTTTAAAGCTACATACACTCATGGGGAAGTTATTTTTTGTTCTTCACTTTGGGATTAAAATAAAAAGCAGCGATTACTGTTAGCGAACAACCTGACTCCGCTTATACTGCTGAGAGTGATGTTTAGATGAATATAATGGCGCTTTTCCACTGCATGGTACGTCTCGGTACGGTTCACTTTTGGGGGGTTTTCCACTGGGTACAGTACCTGGTACTTTTTTTTAGTACCACCTCGGTTGAGGTTCCAAGTGAACCGTACCGTTACCAAAACATGACGTGTAAACTCTGCTGATCACGGATTGGCCGGAGAGAATCGTCACTACCTGCGTCACTGAACTTGACACACACACAACAGAACCGCTAGATTTAAATCAACACAGCCAGCGAAGGATCGAACGCAACTGTTTTGAACAAGCGCACCTTTTTTAACAACCAAAAAGTGGCTGTTTCATTGTCTGGTGGGGCGATGCGGAATGAGAATTTTTTTCAGGAGTCGCGGCAATAGAGGCGGCGCAACTATAACGACATGTGAATAATCCCGCCCACTCTAAAGCGATACTAAACTGCAGTGGAAACGCAAACTGAGCCGAGCCGTACCACACAGTGGAAAAGCGCCATAAATGTGCTGCACGCTTTGCTCTCACTAACGAAATAAACGCACAACAAATATGACAGTGGTGAGAAAACAGCAGTTAAGAAAGCATCTGATCATAGCGATTAAGGTGATTGCAGCAGCTTGAAATTCGTCACTCCCATTCATTAACGTACATAAATTTTCAAATGTGGCTTGATGCTACTTCTGTTCGTATTTTAAGATGTTTTCTTGTAAGCATTATAGATAGTTTGTGTTTCTGGCATAGAACCAAACTTTATTTATCTTAATTTAATGCTGTATATTGAGCAGCGGACGATGTTAAATCCATATACGAGACACATATCTGAGGAAAAATGCATTGCTGGTCAGCGCCACCTAGCATGCAGGCGTGAATTAGCAGAAGGCGATCAGTCGTTTCATGTTCTGTGTGAAAGCAACGTTCGCTTTTTCGCATCACGCTCCGTGTGAAACGGCCTTTAGACAGATTATTAAACCTTTGCCTGTTTGTTCTACAGATGGTGTTTCCAAAGCAGAAGATGGTGGAAAAGATGGCGATAAAGAAAAGGTGAAAAATGGAGACGGTGAGAAGGATGCAAGTGAGAATAAAGACAATGAAGTGAGTACAAACAAACTCTGGATCTCTGTTTAAAGCTACATACACTCATGGGGAAGTTATTTTTTGTTCTTCACTTTGGGATTAAAATAAAAAGCAGCGATTACTGTTAGCGAACAACCTGACTCCGCTTATACTGCTGAGAGTGATGTTTAGATGAATATAATGGCGCTTTTCCACTGCATGGTACGTCTCGGTACGGTTCACTTTTGGGGGGTTTTCCACTGGGTACAGTACCTGGTACTTTTTTTTAGTACCACCTCGGTTGAGGTTCCAAGTGAACCGTACCGTTACCAAAACATGACGTGTAAACTCTGCTGATCACGGATTGGCCGGAGAGAATCGTCACTACCTGCGTCACTGAACTTGACACACCCACAACAGAACCGCTAGATTTAAATCAACACAGCCAGCGAAGGATCGAACGCAACTGTTTTGAACAAGCGCACCTTTTTTAACAACCAAAAAGTGGCTGTTTCATTGTCTGGTGGGGCGATGCGGAATGAGAATTTTTTTCAGGAGTCGCGGCAATAGAGGCGGCGCAACTATAACGACATGTGAATAATCCCGCCCACTCTAAAGCGATACTAAACTGCAGTGGAAACGCAAACTGAGCCGAGCCGTACCACAGTGGAAAAGCGCCATAAATGTGCTGCACGCTTTGCTCTCACTAACGAAATAAACGCACAACAAATATGACAGTGGTGAGAAAACAGCAGTTAAGAAAGCATCTGATCATAGCGATTAAGGTGATTGCAGCAGCTTGAAATTCGTCACTCCAGTCAAATCACATCATTTTTATTTATGCAATAGATTGCTTTAAAACAAGCAGTATTAAACATTAAAAAACTGTCTGTTTCAATTGGAATTACAACTTCGATTTCTACTATAAAGCAGCCTCTCCTGTGTGTTCATGTTTTTACTCGTGTCTGACATTGACGTATTGAACAGAAGAATTGAAATAAAGATTTCCATGAAAAAGAGCTTGTTATGTAATCATAGACCAATGGTAGTTTGCAGGTGTTTAACAGGTGGAGTGAATTTTTCCGGAAAGTTCGCTTTGTCAAGCTTTTTTAAACTTTGATTTCACTTGAAGTATATCGGTGCCTTAATTGTCATTGTTTCAACCGTGTGAGGTTAGATGATTTTGATTGTTAATAAGCCAATTCTATTTATTTTTATCAAAAGGTCATTGCCATTCCTGATGAAGATGAAAAAGCTTCTTCTGCTTCTGAAGACAAAAGCAAAGACAAAGAGGAGAAGGACAAAATGCCTGAATCCTCTTCAGAGGGAGACAAGGCCGATGGGAAGCAAGATGAGAAAGAGGAAGAGAAAGGGAAGTCTGGAGACGCTGATGAGAAGACCAACGACAGCAAGCCCAAAGGGTCTGAAGCTGAAAAGGAAACTTCAGACGCCAAAGGTGAACAAAAATGGCATTTCCAACCCGTAATAATATGGGTTTTCAGGGTTGAATGGGATCAAAAATTTACTTCGTCTGAACATACAGTATCAAATTTTTTCATATGCTTTTTTTTCAGGAGAAAAGAAGGACGATGAACCTGAAAAGATGGACACTACCCCTGTTACAGATGAGAAGAAAGGTCTGTACCACCTGAATGGATTTGAAATGATTACGTAGTTTCTGGATCTGACCTACACACTTGATTAACTTTGTCATTCAATTGGCTCCAGGTCAGAAGGACGAGAAGGAATCTGTTAAGACGGAGGAAGCAGGAAAACTGCAGAACGGAGAGAGTGCCAAAGACAGCGCAGCAGGAGCAGTAACTGAAGAGAGGAAGAAAGCCAAAACACGGTTCATGTTCAACATCGCAGATGGAGGATTTACCGGTAAGATCTCCTGTTCAGACTGTCTATTTTAGAAATTCTTCTCAGGTTTTGTACTAGATTTAAAGGGGTCATATGATGCGATTTCAAGTTTTCCTTTCTCTTTGGAGTGTTACAAGCTGATTGTGCATAGATAAGATCCCTGAAGTTGCAAAGACTAAAGTCTCAAAACCAAAGAGATATACTTTATCAAAGTTAAGACTCTGCCACGCCCCCCTAAAACGGCTCGTTCTAACACGCCCCCACATATCTACCTCACTATGTGAAAATATTTGCATAATGCCGCCCAAAATGTGCACGCAAAGAAAGAAGGCGTGGTTTCAGTAAAAGCAGTTAGTGTTGAAGCAGCATGTCAGGGAGACGCTGTGTGTTTCTAGGAGAAAGCAAAAGCACTTTATTTGGCCTTCCGAAAGTAGATGCATTTAGAAATTTTTAAGATTACTTACAACAGAACAGCAATGCATTTTATGGATGACCGTTTAGTGAACCTAGGAGAGGAGGTAATTCTGACTTTGCTATGACAATCTGGGCTTCTGAATCAGTTACTGTTTTGTTATTAGTTTAAGTATTTGCTATTGACTGTTCAAATGCGGAGTTTTG